ATAGAATGAGGCTATTTACCTTTGATACAAGGTGGTACAATTAATCTTGACTAGTGTTTTAAAAAATGGCGAGAACACGCGTGCCTGTACCGGTTTCAACCAAAAATCGAGAACCGCCCGGTTCTAGAGTGGAACTGCCGGTTCCCATATGGTTCTATCCGGTTCAGCCCGGTTCTAGAGTGGAACCGCCGGTTTTCGCACGGTTCACACACGTAACGCATGACACGCATGTACGAGCGTGCCCCACGCACAATCACACGGGCACACGTGTGTCCAAGCGCACGTGCGAGCGCACCCCACGCATACTCAAACGTGCACACGTGTGTCCGAACACGCGTGTGAGTGTGTGTGACACTCACACGTACACACGTGTGTCCGAGCACACGTGCGAGCATGCCCCACGCACTCACACGCACACACATGTGTCGAGCGCAAGTGCGAGTGTGCCCCACGCACACTCACACGTACACACGTGTGTCCAAGCGCACGTACGAGGTTGCCCTAATATTCTTATACACATTTTATAGATCATATTGCATAGGTATTTATATACCAAATTTGAATACTCATCTTTCGATGTGGGATAATTCTCAAACATCATTAAATGAAAACGAAATGTAAATATAGTTTATTAATCAACAATTTATAATTACATGTAGTTAGATGGTTGGATGGTTATGACTTTGATTTTTTTACTTGAGGTCCCAAGGTCGAATCCCCTTGCGCATCCCCTTGGGCATGTTGCATTCGAATCCCCTTGGGCATGTGTTGCATTTTTGTTGTGTATATAGTGGTTGGTATAAATCTAAATATTTTTGTTGTATTTGAATCCCCTTGGGCATGTGTTGCATTTTTGTTGTATATATAGTGGTTGGTATAAATATAAATATTTTTGTTGTGTATATAGTGGTTGGTATAAATATAAATATTTTTGTAAATAATATAAAAGACATAAAAAAATAAAAAATAAAAAAAATAATTTTTTATATAACAGTTAATTTTTGTTGTATATAATGGTATAATTATTTTTGTAAATAATATGAAAGGTATAAAAAAAATAAAAATAAAAAGTTTATTCTATTTGAAATCTCCATCTTTCTACTAACAATATCTTTTACTAAATTTATTATAGAAACCTAAAAAAATAAATTTTTGAAAAATTGAAGTGTTATTTCCAAAATTTGTATGCATTTTGTTAATTTTTACATTGATAATCAAATCTTTTATTTTATTTATGAATTTTTACATTATAAATCATGTAATGTACTATTTTTCTTACAGTTGTCAATAATACATTTTAAATTAGATAATATTATAAAATATTTTTAATTTATTATTATTTATCTAATAAAATAATTATAAAATGTAAACTAATAATTATAATTTCAATATATAATATTATAATTAGTGAGGTTGTAATAATTTTGGATAATAGTTAGTTAGGCTATAATAGTTTGGGTTTTTTTAACGGATTAGGGTTTTTCGCCAAAACGAGATTTTAATGGCCATTCTTTCATTGATTAGTCTACTCTTTATAATAGTCCATATATAATTATATATTTTATCTATGATAATTCTATGATTTTTCTTTTATGTGATGCAAATTTAATAGTTAAAATAAATTTATATAGGGAAAGAACATCACAATATTCACAAATTGATAAAACAATGAAAGTTAATAATGTAGTACCCTCATTTTTTATTGGATTCCTAAAAAACAACATTTATAATGAATTTTAATAATTTTTTCGGATTTTTTTGAAGCTTTAATCCGACCGATTCAGCAGATTCCCGATTTGGATCGTCGATTCGCCGATCCGGATCGGTTTTTGAGGTGCCCGATCAGGGTCACCGATTCGCTTTTTAAACCATTGATCTTGACCATTGGATCTGAAATTAGGTGGCTGCATTTATTCTATCAACTAAGCTCAAACTTTTAAAATAAAATTTCGAACTTTATGACACATCCAAGTTATCAAATTTCACATCGAATGGTTGTCAATAATCGTGACCTCATTGTTTCAAAAGTAAATGATCACATTGTACAATCCCTACTTTAAATCATATAAATTGTTATCATGTTATCTCATGTTATATTGTTGTATAACACGTGGAACCCACATGCTCTTGCTATTTTGCGCTCATCCAAATGTACATAAAAAATAAAATAAAATACAATACACGCTATCAAATGTAAAACTTGAACGTAAAATATATAAAATTATTTTTAAAAATCCGGCTTCGACTGGGTTTTGCCTAGCCCAAGCCTTTGATTGCCAAGTACCTTGCCGGAGCCGTGGAAATTAACATTGTGGATGAGAATTAAACACGAATAAAAGCAAGCATTAAACACGAATAAAAAGCAAAAAAGTATGTTTCGGTGCGACCGTACATCGATTTAGCGGATATATATGTGGCCTTTTTTAGGACAATTGGGGTTTAAAAATCGGTGAAGATAAATTGTTGCGGAACAATTCCCAAATTAGTGAGCTTACTAGTCTTCCCAAACAGGGCTTGCAGTTGAGACCTCATGGAGGCTTCACGCAGGGTGAAAAGTAACTTTCTTAGTGATGTTAAACTGGGCGAAAAGTGACTATCTTGGCAGCTAGTTGATAGAAATTTCACAAACTGGATTGAAGTTTTTACATCACTATAGAGAGAGAGGGAGCAATTTTTTTTGGGTTTGCAAGATAAAGCGAGCAATTAAAGGGAATTAGTTGTTAAGAGAAAGCAGTTATTAGAGAGAGATAAAAGAGAGTACTTTAGATGGAGAGTTTCTAGAAAGAGACTGAATCAATGTTTGATTATTCGGGCGAGCTAACTCGGACTCGTCACCGCAAGCTTGAATATACCGAGTTGGGTTGTTCAACTAAAAATTCTTCAAAAAAATCAAAATAATTACAAAAATTTTTTAAATAAAATATTTATTTGTAATATGTTTTTTTTGTGCTTTCTATCATTTTGGCAAAGATTGTAAACTGTTTTGGCTATACATACTTATTTTTACATTGTTTTTTTTTAAAGATCATTTCTAAAATACCTTCATTACAAATTCATTTTTTAAAATCTATTTTGCCACTATTTTTTTAACCTTAGATTTGTTTATTTAATTGTACTTTAAATATATTGCATCTAAAATTTTTCGAATGTATTCATTTCGAATTCTATCCTTTCTTGTCTTGTCACTCATCCATCTTATAATCTTCATCTATGCTGCACTCATTCTATGAGTATATTGTTTTTTGACTGCCCAACATTCTCATATCTGTTACACTCATTCTATGAGTATATTGTTTTTCGACTGTCTAACATTCTAATATTTGCTACACTCATTCTATGAGTATATTGTTTTTTGACTGCCCAATATTCTGCCCCATAGAGCAAAGTTGCTAGGTGGGTGAAGTGGAAATGTGTAACCAGAATTTTATGTGATCGTCACATACCAATGAAGCTAAAGGACAAGTTCTATAGGGTAGCTGTGAAACCAACTTTGCTCTATGGAGCGGAATGTTAAGCTGTCAAAAAGCAATATACTCATAGAATGAGTATAGCAAATATGAGGATGTTGAGATGGATGAGTGGCAAGACAAGAATGGATAAAGTTTGATATTACACCAATAAAGAATAAGAAGAGAGATAGTAGACTTATGTGGACTAGTCATGTGTAGTGCAGACCCAATACAATATCTATTAAAAGGTCTTAGTTAGTTCAAAATTGAAGACTAAAAAAGAGTGAGGGGGTTATGATTTTACTGAAGGTATGACCCATAACAGAGGAGAATAACACACCAAGATTCATATAACTGACTTCAATTAGTTAAATATTTTTTTGAGATGATATATTTTTTTTATTTTTAAAATGTTTTTTTTTTTTAACACTTTTTAGCTCGTCCAAAACTCAGCCCAACTCGAACTTAGTGCTCGGACTTAGGCCAGCTCCCGGAGCGGAGTACTGGGCCTCGAGTCTATCTTTTCAACACTCGACCGAACCACTCGAGACCACTTTGATGAAACCAGTGGCTTTTTGCCGAAAGACTCGGGGGAATCATCATCATCTGAATATTCCAGGGAAAGGCCGGCTGGCGCCGCAACAGGAGGGGCACTACTTTACACTCTTCTTTACAACAACTTGACGGTAGATATGGATTTATGTCGCTCGAGTGCAATTTTATAGAGATAAAGGGAGAGAGTCATTGTGTTTTGTTTATTTAAACCTTAAACAATTCAAGTATGACGCACCCCTAAATTTTATTATATTTATAATTTTGATATAACTTTTTTTTTTAGGATAGATTGAGAATCTATTTTTATTTTTTATTATATAATTTTAAATACATGTAAATCTTGAAAATAGACGGTCTATATAATTTGTTTTAAGATACACTATTTTGCGGATTGAAAATCTTTTTGTCTTTTCATATTCATACATCTCGATGTCTAGATGATCGATTAGAGAGTTTTTCAAAATACAAACAGCTTTTTATGATGGACTTTTGAAGTGTATTTTTAATTCTGCATTTTAAAATTCCAATCTTTTATAAAAAAAATTTTTATTTAAATTTGTCATATTATATGGACTCGATTTCTATGTAGACAAAGCCCGTATATATAGAAATACAGGCTTATTAATAAATTTAATTTTGAGATGGATGTTTAGATTGAAATTTTAAAGACATATAATCTCTAATATAGATATCATGAATATAAAAAACTAAGTAAATTTTAAGAATTATAAATAGAGTAATGATTTTATAGCAGCTTCCTCCCCCCATGTGTGTGGGACTCTAAAGGATCACCATTTAAAGTGGTATGCATATTTAAAAAAGTTGACACATGGGTATGGGACTTGAATTTTTTCGTGTCAAATTTAATGGTGATCGGTCTTATAAAATCATTTCTTTTATAAATAATAATTATATTAAAAAATATTTGGACCATTAATTTCCATTAAGGTGCTTTACATTTTTTTTTTTTTTTTACAGCACGTAGTCATGCGATCCAGCCAGCATGAAACAATTTTCCATATTATATTCGGCGAGAGCTGCCCAGCAAATCTCCACCCATCTTTCCTCAGTCTTCTTCCCACTCCTTTATTTCTTTTCTACCCCCACATCCACCTGCAACACCAATCTCTCTCTTCAAATCGAGCAGAATCTCAATTCTCACTTGCAGGTGAGCCGATCCATGCCTCTATCTCTCTCTCCCATCTCTCTTCCATGTTTAATTTGCGGTCTCTCTGTCTTCACATTTATTGACCTTGCTTGTTTAGACTTGTCGAACACCGGTGCTTCTTTTTATTTTCTCTCCTCTCTTTATGTATCTATTTCTCTAGCTAGTTATCCATTGTTGTGTTATTTGGATTGCATTTTTGTTTTTGTTGGTTGAAATGGAAGAGAGAGAATTACTCAGGTAATTTCTAATTAAACGGAGAACCTTCGACAAGTATATCTGAACGATAAACAGGATATGAACTTCCTTAATTTGATTATTTTATAAATTGTAATTTATTTTTGTGTTTTTTTGTTTTTTTTCATTACTGTGGTGAAGAGTCAGGACTAAGTACCTGGAATTCAATGCTGAACCCCACTCTTTATGGTGGAATCTTGATGCTGAATCCCACTATTTATGGTGGAAACAGTATATGGCTTAGTGAATAAAAAGAAACTTTGTATTTCTTATTGCAAAGAAGCATAGTTTTGGATTTTCTTCTATGACTAGGATGGGGTGTCACAGTTTTAATTATTAGGTTTGCTTCCAAATTCTCGGATTGCCGTATCGAAATGACATCCTTTTGCAATGATACGAAATTGAGGTAATTTTCTATAATTAACATCTTTTAGCTAGTACTTTATCCTACTTGTCCTGGGTTTATTTGGGTTTTCTGGTTTGTGCTTTTGTGTTGTTTCTATTCTTATTTTGCTTTTGGTTCCTTCATTTTTCCTTTTTTTTTAAGTTTACCTCCATGTTTTCTCTTTCAGCAACTTCTGCATGGCTGTTGTGGATGCTCAATTTATGTTATTATTGTAAATTTAGGTTTTATTTGATTTGTTTCATATTCTTCGTCCTTTTCATCATATTTTCCGGTTCCTTGTTGATTCAGGTTAGTTTCGGTCTATTCTCTTGATTTTCTATATCAAATTTGGCTGCAATATCTCTTTCACCCTCTAAGGTTTATCTTGGTAGCAGTATTTTCTGTTCTTGGATGGATTTTAGAACAGTATTGTTTAGTATCTAGTGTTTAATTATTAATCTCATGAGCTCATTAGTTGTTTTGTAAGCCTTTTTGATCGATAAGAAGTTGGTTTATAACTTTTATTTTTTGAATTTGAAAGGCAATCTGATTATTTTTGGCTAACTTCTTTGGTTGAATATGCTCTGCCCTTTGTCTGCTATTCATTATTGACAGGCAATTGCAACGGATTTCTTTTAGGTCATCTTCCACACCAGCAAATTGTTAACTTTATGAAATGTTAGGTTCTAAATGTGATTATAGCCGAGTTTTGCATAGTGGAAGCTGCTTGTTGTGGATTTCTTTTATTTTAGAAGATCTGGCTACTGAAGAATCGGTGGAAATTTGTTTAGGACGCAAAATTACTTGATCATTCGGTGTCAAATTTTATAAGATTTGTTGGGTTACTGCTCAGTAGGAGAAATAGCGTTATGGGCTCATTTTGCTGCTGCCCAAGTCGAGAAGAGTTTGAAGAATATACTTACTCCAATGGTTCCTTATCTAGGCATTGCATCTCCCTCACATACCTCCTGCACCAGCTCTTAAATGGGGTATGGCTAAATAATTTCTTTTTACTAGTCATTTTCTTCTCCGAAATTTCTTTGGGCAATAGATTGATTTTTCTAAAGCGCCCAATCTTTTTGTGTTGCCTGCTACAGTAACTTCAAGAATTCCATCATACCATCTTCTTTCCAATTTCTAGATATTTGTTTAGGTTTTATGAAAACACAGCAATTAACCATTAATTTATGCATGCTTTTTATATCTTGTAACCTTGTGTGATGTGTGGTTATGCTTATAAAAGTAATATTACAAACAGTTTGTAATGGTCTGCGAGACGCATTGACACAAAGAAATGACTCTATTCAAAATTATGGACTTCTTTAAATTTGGCATGGCTTAGCATGCATAGGGTGATGGACCAGCAACAGGTTGAGGTTAGAGAAAAGGACCTCCCAGTTGAAGGATAATTTTCAATTTATTTGGCCATTTGTTTGGGAACAAATTTTATACTTATTCCAATATAAGAACTAAAACCGGGGAGCAATGGGAGGAATTACCAGTAAGAAATATTACAAAAACAATAGAAATGCCATAGCATAAATTGGTTTCAAGCATGTGCTTTTTTATGTTACGAATGTTTGGTATTGTCATGTAGTAGTTACTAGTTGGCAATCTCTAGTTGGTTGTATTATTAGTTTGCTGAGTTAAGACTTAAGAATCTAAAGAAATATTTGCTTATGACTTTCTGTTACAATTTGCATCTTCTGCTGCATGTATATCTAGAACTTCTGTTGAACCCTTTCTACTTATAAATTATTTCATCTTGTTGACCTATCAGAACAAGTAAACGGTATCAGCTCCCTACTTCTTTTTACATTATTGTATTATCTCATCACACTTGTACATGATTGCCTGAGACCTTCATGGGTCAGTTACATGTACCCAGGGAAATCCATTTCTAAAATTGTATTTTGGTGGGCCTTACCTTGATTCTTATAATCCCCCAGAGTTTGGGTCAAGGATATAATGTCGATTGACATTCCATTGGGGTTATGCCTGTAGTTCTCAATTTTGATCCTTATGGGTGCACCGCAAACACCAGCACAGAATTGAAGGATGTTGTGGAAAATCAAGCCAATCAACATACCATCTAGGGATGTTTGGATGTACTTACTATCACCACAATTCACTCTTTCAATGAAATGAATCCTAATAATGAATTATTTGGTGTCTGACAGTGTCCATTATAAAATGATCAAAGATAAATTTATAGGCAGTTTTACACATAAGTTTATCTTTTTGAAAAACTGCTTTTGCTTTATTCAAAGTAATTTGTTGAAAATCATATGTTATTATCCAGGAATAGCTAAAAAAGCCAAAAATTGCCCCAAAAATGTTAAATAATTAAATTATATTTTATTTAAATACAAGGTAAAAAACTAACAGAATCATATTATTCAAAGTATACTAATTTCAGATAAAATAGTCTATTCCAGTTAAAATTAATTCTCATCCAAAAAGGCCCCTAGTATCTACCAAATCCATCTTATTCATCATGTAACACTTTTAGGTCCAAAGCCACACAAGGGTTCTCCAGTTTTCTCCTATTGTGTAATGCTAAACGTGTCAATCCCAGAATATAGTGGCTCATGGGCCACTCAGGAACCAGCTAGAATCTGTGTGCTTCTCACACAACCCCCTAGATAATGGGAGATAACTTGGTGATGACTTCTTCTGAATCCATGGGAGAATTTTGACAATCCCAACTCCCGCCAAAATTGTTGTCCTGAGGTCCTTAGGAATTCATGAAATTGAAATAACGTTCACACGTATTTGCCATCTTGACCTCCTCGGTGCTGCTTGGGAACTTAAGTACTTTGCTTCTAGCTTCTAGGTGAATGCCTTGGTGTCAAGTGGCTGCCACCCCCACCAATCTCTCTCTCTCTCTCACCCACCCATTATGACAATTATCTTGTAAATACCTCCCACCAAACTAATAGGCCTGAGGTCCCTAGGAAGTAGAATTGAAAGTAGCATTCATCCATACACACCCATGCTTGGCATCGTGACTCCGCAGTGTTGATTGGGAACTCAAACATTTTTGCTCCTAACTTCTAGGTGGGTTATGTCAAGTGGCTGCCTACTCTCTCTCTCTCTCTCTCTCTCTCTCATGCGCACTGTGTGCATGAATGCCAGTGTGTGCCTGTGTGTGAATGTTGAGTGGTTGCTTGCTGTCTAGGTGCCTGCCTGGCCACACGATTAGTTGTTGAGGGCTTATAATCCTCTGTTGGCCTAGTCAGGAAAGGATGCTTCACCTGACATAATGGTTTTTGCCAGCTCCCAAATGCTCTCTACTCTGGTATTGCATTTCTTGCTGTTCAAGATTTTATTGTGACAAATTAATTAACTAAAAGGAAATTTAAAACAACTATAGCTATAACTTGAATCTGAAATAACTAGGCATACATGTTTGTTTCAACATTAAGTGTGATGATGTTTGATCCACAATTTAGTAATATTTATTTTTCATTTTTTTTTCCACTTTTGAGCTGGATTTACATATATGCCTTTTTTCTGTCTATGTAAACTTAATGAATTATTCTAGAAAGATTTATTAGCTTCCAGATCAATTATTGGTGCGTAACTACTTCTAGTCGTATAAAATGATTTTAAATAAATGAATGGTCATCCATTGAGTTGTTTTATATGATGTACGCAATAGCAATTTTTTATAGACAATTTATCCTTATTCATGTGTTTTTATGTGCAGTATGCAGCTGTGTTTCGAAGGATTGAGGGTAGGAGTGTCTCCTTATCCCCACACAGCGCAACTTCTTTGGCACCAGCTGGTTCAGACTTGAATTTCCCAGAAAGTTCATCTGATTCTTATCACTCTTCTTCAAGAACTGTGCCTTATGATGCTGATTCTAGGTATTCTTGTTTACCACGAGATGGATTGGTCCTAAGACGTGAAAAATCTGCAAGCCGTTTTAACGAAGAATTGCAACCACTCAGAAGAGGCAACAATAGTGCTGGTGTTGAAACTATGAGTTCAATGGACAAAGTGAATGGGTTGGAAAGTGAAGGACATTCTATGTCTTGCCATTCTGAGTCTGCAGAGAAGAGTTTGTTTGTAAAAGCAGCACGTGGAATAGCTTATCGTCTATCTTCCGCTGAAGATGAAGATGTCTGCCCCACTTGTCTTGATGGTAAATTGCTTTTTTTATAGAGAATATGGTTAGACGGAAGGCACAAATATATAAACTTATCTGAATTTTTATTTTCGCGAGGCATAATTTATAAAAGAGGATGTCATGTGAGTTTGCTTCTTTTTGTTGGCTGGATCCTGCTTTCCATTCTTCATTGCGACTTCAAACTAATTACAAATAGTTCATCATCATCATCATCCAACCTTCTCTCAATTATTTGGGGTCGGCTACATGAATCATGTTCTTTCATTCTTCTTTATCAAGGGCCATTACAGATAGTTTTAGATTTGAATATTTACTCAAGTAATTGCTGCTTTATGAGTCATTTCACTATTTTGAAGGAATAAGGAACGATCTTGGTGTCTTTTTTATTCTAAATAAAAATAGAATTTTTGTGCAGTGTTGCATAATTCACTTCTCTTGGGTTGAAATCATCAAATCAGATAGGTTTGACCTCTGGATCCAAAGACAAGCTCCAAAGGATCCAGGCAGTTCTTCCTGGGTCTTCTCCCTACTGTCTGTCTTCTTTTGCTTGTGGCCATTATGGCTGAAAACATTAAGGGCAATAGAATTCCTTCAATTTAATTTTAAAAGTTGCAATCTTGTAATTTTTTAATATTTATATTATTCCATACACTATTTTTTAACTTTAATTATTGACATGAAGGTTAAATTGACCAACCCAATATTTAGGGCCTTGGTAATGGCCTTGAGTCAAAATTCCCTATGATAAGGATTTGGGTTAAAATTTCCTACATAATAACAACCATCATCTCTTTATGGTTAACTGAAGGCGAAGAAATTTGGACATGTGAATTACAGAAATTGTTTGTTTCATAGCAGCTCTTGGTTTCTTATTTTTTTGTGCAGAATACACTCCTGAAAACCCCAAGATCACAACACAATGCTCTCATCATTTTCACTTGGGCTGTATATACGAGTGGATGGAGAGAAGTGAAAGTTGTCCAATCTGTGGCAAGGTATCTTTGTGATGTTTCTAAGTACTTTTTGTGAGCGTTTCATCATTTTGCACGGTACCTCCTTTTTTTTTGTGCTCTGGGGATTACTAAAAGGTGTATCTTGATGTTGAAGTGTGTGGCCTATGTGGTTTAAAATGAAGTAACTTTTGGTTGTTTAATCTATTTATTATTTATTGATTAGCATTTTCCATTTTAATATTTTCTCTATTTCTGATATTGCTGGAATCTCTTCGCCATTTATAATTAAGCTTTTTTTTTTTTCTATTCGGTTATTGGAGATATCTTTGCCATATTTAAGCATCCTATACATAATTTATACCATTTTAAGTACAATGAACTTTTGTTTGTTTTTGAGTTCTTGGTTCATTTTAAATTAAATATTGGAAATTTATCAAAATTCCCGTAAGAAGATGAATTATTCAACATTTTACCGATTTGCAACTATTCCAAGCCTTGTGTCTTTTTGATTGGTGTTTTGAAATTAGACCAATAAGATATGAATAAAATGTTATATAGTTGATCTCCTATGGGTAATTTCGATAAATGTCCTGTAAAATATAGCACTCCTGCTCAAATACAAAGTAACTGTATTTTATTCTAATCGGAAGAGTTTGTGTAATTTTCTAGACCTACTACGAGTCTTTAGCACCTTATTTCATGATAACTAATTATTCCAGAATATGTTTTAAAAATTATTTTTACTCAACGATGATAATTTAGTGATTGATATGCTTAGCTTTTTGATACATCTGGATGTCTTATCCCGTAAAACAAATTAGTTTTCATTGATGTAATTTCCATTTCTCTTTGGATTTACAGGAGATGGTGTTCAGTGAAAGCCCTTGACTGCAAATGGGTAAGGTCGCGCTGAATAGCTTCCTGCGCCCTCTCTGTGAATAAAAGTCAAGAGTGAACCATATTTGTTTTTTGTGTCTTCTAAATATGCTTGTGAATAAATTTGGGCCATCCATTGTTCATGTAGCAACCAAGAAAAAGTCTATATTATGTCCGATTTTATATGAATATTTTCTCTTTATTTTTGTGTTGCTTTTCTAGGAGGTGGCTTTCATCTATTTTGCTAAAAATTTATTTTTAGTAGTTACCTTAGAATTAGATAGTTTAGTCTGGATCTTTCCCATTGGTCGAAGAATTATATAGTTTAGTCTGGAGCTCTCCCATTGGTCGAAGTGGGTGTGTGTGCGCGTGTGTGTTCTAAAATTTGAAATGATGGGATATTTGGTCATTTTAAAATCTTAAAAATATTTTTTATCTTTATATGGTGTGCGATGGTGTTAAGTATATATATCCAAAATTTCATTGATCTGATTTATAGAAAAAAGATTAAAATTCAAATTGTAACATACATTTTCAACTACTCGATTAAGATCTGACAACTGGGATTGTACTCGTATTACTATTCATTATAGGCGCAGCCTTTTGGTAGTTTTTTCATGTGTGTGTGTTGGCGTGAAGTATGAAAATTGGAAACAATTTTATTCTTATCATTTTATTTTCAAATGGTACTTTTTAAACCCTGGTAATTAATAATAATGTTTTGTATATTATATGTCAATCATCTTTGATGTTGTGTTGCCTAGAACCTTTGATATTGAAGTAGCTATATGCAAACGCAAATCCCACGAATGCCAATTGCCAAAAGATTTTATACTCCTGTGGGAGTAATATGTGCATTTACTCCCTCTCAATGAATTACCAGTCTCATTACCACTGCTACTATTTTTCTAGAGTTTTTAATTGTATTACTATTTTGATAATTTGGCACCCAAAAAGTAGACAACCCCCCCCCCCCCGAATTTATGTTCATTTTTGAAGTCTACAACCCCGAAGCACACTATCCTCTTACATCATAGGATACATTGAACCGTAGTCCAAAACCAGACTATAATCCAGCTTAGAATATTCCTAAATGTTTCCATACTGCTATGAAATACCAATTTTAGGAGAAAATAATCTCAAATAGGCAGGTCTCAATGTGAGTAAAGGCGATGAAGGGCTGTAACCTGGTGTTGGTCCCACCTATGCTCCCTTCCCTGGAAACGGTCTTAACTTTTGGTTTTTTATGTACAAAGTGGATGTTTTCAGGTCTCAATGTGAGTGAGGAAATATTCAATTAAAACAGAAATATCGCAAAAAATGGCAAATACAAAGATTTTCATGGCATTTGAGACCAGATTTGGTTTAGCGAGATAGACTTCATCGTTGGAACCGCCCCATGTCATCGACATGTGGACAACACAGTTTTAATCCAGACTGCCATCGGCTTATTTTGGGATGAATTTTTCGATAAATATGCGACTTCTTAGACATGTACAAGCAGTAAGCAATCTAAGCCCTAGCCTAACTCCAATTTTGTAAACCTAGATATAAGAATCCTAATTTAGCCCACTTCAGAGAGCAAAAACAACATTTTCGTTCAAGTTAAAAGCTCTATATATAAATTCCTAGGCATCTCTCTTCCCTAGAGTAAAATAAATGAGGAATATGCAATCTCAAAGACTAAGCAGGAAAAACTCTATAATCTTTGTTGTCTGATCTGGCCCCAACTCCGGGTACCGAGCTTGAAGGCCCAGTCTTCAGGTATGTTCACTCTTTTATTTTGTCTTCTCTATTATCTCTCGTTTACTGTATTGTGATCGTTTGTTTCTTTAGAAAATCTCTTTTAATTAGTTCAATATGTTTTTTTTTTTAAATTTTATATATATATTTTTATTTTGGATTTACACAAACCTAAGCCCACCCTAGCCATGATTTGTGAAGAATATGTTCTTTGAACTGATTTATTCATAAATCATAAATTGTTGAAACCCATCTTGACCTATTTTAAAATGTTAAGTTTCGACACGATCTTAGACAATTTGGACTTTGAGTAGTCAGATTTATCTCATAATCGCGTGGAAATAGTAAGGTGAAGGGGAAGGCTCGCTCTATAGGCACTAATGTGGTTTAGAGTTAGAATTTGACGATCAAGATCGGGAGCCGATTGTTTTATATGTTTCACAAACTTGTTAATAGAAATGATTGGAAACCAGCCTTTGGTAGGTTGATTGGTGAGAAACAGTTGGCCACTTCCACGAGAAGTAATAAGAGAGAGCCCACCTCCTTGAAGGCCAATGAGTGTCACTACATGATGTTGACTCTTGGATGATCTATTTGAATCTCAAAATATGGAGAGGGAGTGTTGAATTCTCAATTGTGATCCTGAAGAAATATCTGATTACAAACGACCACCACTGGACTCAGCAAGACCTTCAGCACCATCTGGTGGTGGCTGGACCTCAGTGAGGTGGTGGATGCCATTGTCCTCCATGAGCTCAACGATGCGAAACACTTCGTCAAAGGCTATGGACGTGGTTTTTTCTGAACAGCCCAATCATATCCATGAAGGACTTTTGGGCTATATAAACCCCTTTTGGTTTGATTTTGGGGGAGATGCAGCATAACCTTAGAAGCATGTAGACTGTAGAGAAACCCTAGGAGCCCTGTAATTCTGATCCCAACATGCGTTTTAAACCCTATAAACCACATGACATTAAACCCCAATTTCCTGCAACTACAACAATTATGAAACCCTACAACCGAAAGGCCCTAGGAATAATTATGCTCCAAGATATCAAAACCCTAGGAAGAACACACCCTAGGTAAATTCTCCTTTCAAGTTCAAGAAAGCTTATCAAATTCAAGCAAATTTCAGACCTAGTCTAGTTTGGGCCACCAACTCCAAGTTTGCGGATTGGGGGACTAGCTTCCCAATAAGTAGTTCTTTCTTTATTTTTTTTTATTTTTTTGTTTTAAGTTTTCTGGTTTCTTTTATTCGTTTTTAGAAGAATTCATGCCAGCCATGCTTACAGTGTGTGAGGAGAAGTTCTACTTTTTGACCCATCTTCTCATACATTATAATTTGATGGAACACACTTTTCTTTATCAGTTTTTTTTTTAGTTTGTTGAGTTTAAAGGTTAAATTAGAGAGGATTTCAGCTGAGATCTTTCCTAGATTTGGTTGTAGACGCACAGAGGGATTCACAATGCTTCATTGTGCTATGTCATATCCTCCTCAGAACTTGCCTGCGGCCTTGAAAATTGAAGTTGGGAACATCGAATATCATGACTATGGGCATCTTGTATCTTTGGGTCCAAGTTGAGCAAAGATCACCTCTGTTTGTGTTTGTTTAGTTTCACATGCTTTCTTTGAGAACTGAAGGTTCTTTCTTAAAGGCTTTGTCGCAATGGCTCTTGTTAAGTAGATTGTCACTATGGTTTCTGTTGAGTAGAGTTTCATGCTCAAAGGTTCCTTTCTTATTGTCACATGGGTTCCTATCATGCAAAATAGAGAGTTTTATGCTCTTTGAGCTTTGTGTAATTAACCCTTTGTTCCACTATTAAGAGAGTGCAACATCCATTCCATCATTAAAAGAGTGCATCTTACATTCCACCATTAAGAGAATGCACTACTTATTTGGTCATTAATAGTTTGCATCATTTACTGTCCCCAAATAATTGAGATAAGGCTTAAATGATGTTGGAATGGTTTGCATCATTTATGCTTCCGAGATCACACCACATGTTCTTTTGTTAAGAGTCTGTTCAACCTGTGTTGCGGTCGAGTCAGTTTAGCCTATTCCGCTATTAAGGGTCCTTTTGACTCTTATACCTTCATTAAGATACTGAAACGGATTGTGTCGCTTTTAAGAGCTAGCAACACAATGAAGAACTTTCAACACTTTTCCTTGAGCTCTTGAAGCACCGTGCATTGCTTGTTTTAGGCAATCCTTTGGCTTTGAAGCAAATGACATTAGGTTTGAAGTTAAAGAAGACGTAAATTCTGGTTTTTTAAGACCGGAAAACTAACACAAGGAATCTTCATAATAGTATTAGTGTATGATAACAGAAGAGCAAATCTTTTTTCACACCACTATTTTTATCTTGACTCTCATTAGCACCTAGTTTTACCGACCCCAAATTGGGATAAGGTTTGGATGATGATGATTTGCACTTAATTTTCATGCAAATGGAGTTCAAAATTGACGATGGTGATCAAAGCACAACAAGTTGCCACAGGTATCTTCTTTGGGAGCGATAGAATCCAAAGAATATATAAATAGAATATAATACAAATCCTTTGAAATTCAATAAAAATAAAAAATAAGGATAATTTTCTCCCCATCAAAAATAGGATAGAGGCAAATGGCTGTAAAAATATTCTTGTACAAGGTAAAAAAAAAAAAAAAAGATAAAACTTCTGTTGAGTGATCAAAATAGTAAAATTTCTGTTGAGCAGTCCAAACAAGAATACCCTGCACTCATAGCTCTGTGGGAATGGAACCTTGTTCTTTTGATTGCATATTAGGATCAACCTTTCTGGTATCAACCACCCAAAGTAAGTACGCCTTAAGGGGGCGTTTTATGCCCTTCTACATGAAGGGAGACTCCCATCCATAACGGAAGACCGCCCCTTCCATCATTCATGGAAGGGCGGCCTTCCAAAAACGCCACTTTTTTAATGTTAAAAAAATACAGGAGGACTCCCTTCCATACACGTGCTTCTATGAGGCATTTTCAAATATAGGAGTGAAACAATCCACCCCCACTTCCAAAAAAATCCTATTGTCAAACATGCCCTAAGGTTTTAAATTAAATGCCATTGTAAAGGGTAGATGAAGAGAGTAGACATCATGCAATCTTGCAAAGCATAAAAATCATATTGATTTTTTATTGATTTAATAAGATGAAAACTTAGTAATTGATTTAATAAGATGAAAACTTAGTATAGTAAGTGATTTAATAAGATGAAAACTTAGTAGGGTTTTCGAGGATAATAATTTATACAGGGCTAACAAGAACATGTGATTTAAAAGCTTGCCCTTAACGTAAGGCCGCCTTACAACAAAAAAATACAGCCACATTTTAAAACTCTATAGGGAAAATACATTTTTGGTGTTAAAAACCCGCAAGACGGCCTACATATCTATTTCCGTTGTTGGTTATAAACTTGGAGCTCCAAATATGCTGTGAGCTTGG